ACTAAAAGAATCAATATGGTATATAAAATGAACAACATTCTTTTTCTACTTAAAGTTCTGAATTTATCGAACACTGTCGAATACACACAATCAATGTTTGTGTGAGTGTGAGTGTGTGTTGTCATTATGTAACCAGTATGCTGTGCAATACAATGGCTGTGACAAGCAATTTGATTAAGGAAAATTGTAAACTTAACGATCTATATTTGTAACCAGTACACGAATGTTATGCAGCACGCTCGGTTAATCCTTTAAGCTTTTAGGGTATTATCACCTCTCGGGTGCACAACATCGTTTCCTTAGTTGTGGGTACACCTGTGTTGTCCTGTGTTTTAACATGTTAACAACTATATTATTTTTCAATTCCAGAGTTCGATTAATCGTTGTAGCTAAGTTCGTGCTAATTAGTCAGAATAATATTTGTCTCACCTACGCTCACTCCGATCTCACAACAACTACAAGCACCTGCAGTAGACTATTGCATTAGGTTAAGTCAATTCAGGTATCATTAATCACTCAGCCATGTGTGAAGTGTAATGTAACATGGATTTATAGAGTCTATTGCATGTCGTTTCATCTGTGTTGTAATGTTTTAACACTGCCACAGGATACTGTGAGAGACTAAACTAAACAAACTTACCAATCTGTTTTGCAATCAGTTGTGATTCACGAGTCCAATATGGGATCTATCCTGGTGAAGAATGGATTTGTTTTGCCACGGGCGTGTACAAACGGATGATCTGGCTGTGTGATTAAAGGTGTACAGTTGAGGGTCATCTCTATTTTGAGCCTCTATACATAAATGCAGCACAATTGCTGTGTTTCGAAGCTCGAATTACAGTTGCAGTAATGACGTTACGATATATCCTGTTGTGTAGAGTTGCACATGCACATGCTACATTCATTTCAATGTTTTACAGTGTTACTACAACTATATTATGACTAGCAACTAGATACTGATTATACCACTTATATTCATTCTCGTCAAATAGACCTGAGTACGCCCAAGCACATTCATTCTGCCAGTGCTGACAGACAATCAGCTGTAAGACATAGATTATGACCATGTCTCTATTTTGACATCTTGTTACGCATCAGTGACAAAATTATGATTATGTCCACTTTGGCATGCTCAGCAGGTTTACCTTTTGACAACACCTAGTATCAATATTACTATTATTTTGATGTTGATTGATAAACCCATGTCCAGCAATCTGGAATGGCTTCAGAAGTCTACACTTGAAGACTTCGACATCATAGAGGTAGAGAGCAGGAGGATGGTTAGTAGGTTGTGTCTGCCTTCTTTCTGTTGGTCTTGAATCTGTAGCCAACGTGGTACACATGGCGTCCTCCACGTTGAACAGGTAGGAATGATACTGCTACTAATACGTTAGCCATCTTTAGCAATGACTAATGGTATTGGGGCCATTTATTTATGTATATCAATATATTCTTCTCAATGTAAAGTCTCCTTCTCAAGTGTTCTTTTTTCTGTTTTTATAAAAACATATTTCAAATCTCAACCTAAAGTTAGTTAATTGTAGAAGCTAGAATTAGTAGAAGTGTGTATCACTTTTGTTATGAAAATCTATCTCAGATCTCACAATGAGGTATCCTCCCATTTGTTAAACATCCCAATTGTCAGACAGGTTAAAACAAACCATCTGGTTTAGTGCACAGCCAATCCTCAGTGACGGTCGATAAAGTAAATAACAGAACAGAACTTTATTACACTCAGGTCGATACCATCGGCATATGAGGTACAAATTGACAATAAATGATAATATTATGGCGGAATAACAGTTACAATTTGCATGATATATTTACAGAATTTACTGAGATTTTTCAAAACATATATCTTTTTACACGTAAAGAAATATTTATATTTTAACATATTTGGTCTTTTTATAAAGGTAGTTGGTATATACATTCATCTTTCGTTTCTAAAATATGTGCATTTAAGAATATAATGAAACTCATCACCCACAATATTCATACAGCATAATTTACATTTTCTTTCTTCTATTTGTATCCTATTCCACCTTCCTTTTTTCAACTGGTAAATGGTGGGATGAAGTACGAAAATGGAGAAAGGGGATAACTTTGTTAAAGGGTAGGGACGTTAGACAATTTTCAAATTCAAATTGTGATTTCAAAAGAGAATATGTTTGACGTGTTTGGAATGTTCCACCTCTGAGCTCCAGATTTGAATAGCATTGGCATTTAAAATTGAATTAACTGTATTTTTATCCAGGAAGGTGAAATGGGTGAGTGTGAAAGTCATACATAACTTCAACCAATGTTATTACAAATATTCTATACACATGAAATCCAGATGCGGCTGGGAATACTGTAAATTTCATTATGAGTGAGTGAGTGTGTGAGTTTAGTTTTACGCCGCACTCAGCAATATGCCAGCTATATGGCGGTCTTTCATTATGAAGATGATACACAATAGAATAAAAGATTGAAGAGAACTTAGATGAATTATTTGTAAATAATTAGACCAAAGGGTTGACATACGAGTTTTAACGTCAGCAAAAAGTGGGACTCTACCAAATTTACCATAAAGCATATACAATGGGTACCTTTCTTTACAGGTAATAATTTTCTCATATAACATATATGTACATTTTCAATTTGTTTTAAATTAACATATCCCAAATTGCACAACCGTACAACAAGATTAGTTTCACCATTGAATCAAAGCGATAAGTTGACATTGTATTGATAAGTTTAACATTCGACTTCAGTGTTTAACAAAATTCATGGCTTTAGTGGCTTATTGACAGAGATTTAATATAGATAATTTGAAAGAACATTTTCTGTAAAAAAATAACTCCAAGATATTTATACACAATAACAGTTTTCCATAGGTTTAGCTAACTGGGAATTGGGACATCCCATTTATACTCGTATATGGGTGTTGCCCTAATTAATCCCCAGCCCAGTGTCTGACAATTGGGATGTCTTACTAATGGGAGTAAATCCCCAATGAAGTTACTTAATTGGGTTTCATAGAACTCTGAATATCCATAGAACTTGGTTTTCCTACTTAATTGGGTGTTGTTTTAGGCAACCGATGCCTAACGAAAACCTTTATAGGTTAAATTAGACTATTCCAGTGAGACGTCAGGCTTCGGAGATTGCAATTCGTAGGTGATCTGGGCAGTCAGGTATTTAGTCGGTATAAGTTTTTATTTCCCTGAAAATTAGGAGGTATGGGTATACTTCGTTTGCCGAGCGTCACGATGAGTGCGCTCTAAAAACAACAATCAACTATCGGCTCAGCGGTCGTCGAACCGTAGCAGCGTTAGTTTATTAAAAACCCTTCAAGATGATGAAAATTAAATTTTGAAACGTCTTCAAAGATTCCAACATTTACAAATGTCAAGGGGATAACATATATCCCGATAAAATGTGTTCAAAAAGGAAATGTTGGCAATTTGAACTATTTTATAATTCTTATCTAGGAATCTCCTATTTAAATGCCTGTATCGTTGTGCTTACTCTACGTCCTGAAAGGCTCAAATCAGCGGCTCTTCCTGTGGTGTCAGTGCAGGTATTCCGCTCAATGTACTAGTATATAATGCATGTTGATTGTTGTAATATGCCGTGTGTTAAACGTTCCGAAACACTGAAGGTAAATAAATGTTGTCCCTTATCGTATATCAGTTTCGCAATGTCCTTGGGTCAACATGACCGTGATCAGTGTATGCTATTGTCACTACAGCTAATGGTATAAGCATTAAACCCATACCGTTCTACCTTCAATGGTCTGGATTGTTAATAGCAGCGACACAAAATAATAAAATTTAACAGAAAAGCGACTAGTAACGGCGAATGAATGATGATTATTGAAATCATTAGCACAACATCTACATTTGGCGCAGCAAAAATCACCACATGTGTAGTTAAACTAAACAGCAATTACTCGTTTAGGACAAGAGCCCTGAGAATGGATCTTTCAATAAGGCTTCCTTAAGTTGTGTCCTAGCCGATCCCACTGCATGTTACTGAAATTATGTATAAATAATAATGCTTTGACCTTAGGCACCCAAACATTATGGCATATACCCTGCTTTGTCGCAGAAGAATGCGCATTGAGCAATTAGTTGTGGGCGCGTAGTTCTGCTTGGTGATCGCGGAATCGCTTTTATTGTGGTGTTTGCGCTGTCATTCTCCATTGTTGCAGTAGTTATTTGGTAAGAGGAACGATCTTCGTCACTGTTGGCTTTCTTCACACATGGATTTGGACACTGAAATGAATGTTTTGCACCGTTACGTTGAACTAATGTTAAGATGCCAACTGGCTCGCCTTGTTACTGACTAATTACATGCATGGCTTTGCGTCCTCTGAGACACATTATGAATTGTTATATGGCAATAGGGACTGTAGTAGTTGTTTTGGCATTTGTTTAAAGGGGGGGAGGGGGCGTAGTGTAAATAGTCATTTTCTTTTTATGACGTCATCACACTAGTGTCTGACCTTTGTGTGACCTAATCGATTTTAACAGTGAGGTTTGAAACCTTAAACCCCAACCACCCTTTTGAATGAGTCCCCTTCCGGGTCAGGTGTGTGTGACCTTTAGGTTGACCTTAGTGGTCTGTGATTATTATTCAGTTATTTTATGAGTAGTATGAGTTTGATTTGCTGACTCGAGTCTGTCCTAACATTCTAAACTGGCCAAACAAAGAAACGCAAAATAAATAAAACGCAAAAATAACGTATATTCTTGATCAAAATCTAAAAATCTTTGATTCATAAAGGAGACTTACTGTTGTCAATCAATAATGCCTTTGGCAATGAGTTTGAAATTTCGTTCAGTTTTTTCCAAACATATGAACATTCACAATTTAATAAAACGCAGTCACTTGCTTACCATGTCTCCCGAACGCACCAATGTACAGCACGTGAAACATGCTTGCATTAGCAATAAAAAGGCTGGGTTTTTGTTTGATTGTCACTTGCTACTGAAGTTAGAGAAAGATCCGGAAAGATGCCCCGACTCAGCGAAGCAGAGAGGAACAAATCTGTCGGTCGTTTGGAAGCTGGTGAATCATTTTCAGCAGTAGCCATAGTGTTCAACGTGGCGCCAAGCACCTTAATGAGACTGTGGAACCGATATCAGCACCAAGGAACCACACGTGATCGACCCAGATCCGGCAGACCAATTGTAACCACCAGGGGGCAGGACCGGTACATAAGGTTACGTCATCTACGGAATCTAACCACGACTGCGTCCTCTACAGCATCCAACATTCCGGGCCTGCGTAGGATATCGGCACAGACAGTGAGGAACAGATTGCGAGAAGCAGGACTTTGGGCTCGACGTCCTGTTCGTGGGGTCATTTTGACAGCACAGCACCGTCAACGACGTCGTCAATGGCGTCAACAACGAAGTTGGCAGATTCGGCGGTGGAGGATCTTGTTCGTGTGCAGGGCAATCTCACGGCTCGGGGGTACACAGACGAGATCCTGAGACCTCACGTTCTACTCCATCACCCGGAACGCCAATGTCATTTTTCAGCATGACAACGCCCGGCCACATGCAGCTCGACACACAACAGCTTACCTTCAGGCAAACAACGTCCAGGTTGTGCCTTGGCCGTCAAAATCGCCGGATTTGAATCCTATAGAGCACCTCTGGGATGAGTTGGACCGACGTGTACGTCAACGTCAACAACAGCCGCAGACACTAGAACAATTGGCTCAAGCACTTCAGGAGGAGTGGGCCAACATTCCCCAACGTGTCATTCAGACCCTTGTTGGGTCCATGGGAAGGAGATGCAAGGCTGTTCTCGATGCCAATGGTGGGCATACGCGATACTGACCACGTTGATGACCTTGACCTTTGAATGTGACATTTCAACCCTGTTGTAATGACCCCGACTTCTGTGTTGTCCATGCTGCACATTTCCTCCTTTGTAACATTATTCATTAACATATTGAATGTTCCTTAACAATTGAACCAAAATCTTGTTTTGCGTTTCTTTTTTTGGTAGTATATATTTCATGTGGTTGTAACTCTTGACTACTTCGTGTAAGTGGGATTTTCTGATATTTACACACACACACACACACACACACACGTACACACACGTGCACACACGTTACAACAGGTATTGATCGCAAATGTCAGCAAATGACTGAAACGGTCGTAGAATATCTGGCGCGCATGTGCCCAGACTGGGAGTGTGATATAGAGTCACCTCCCTTGGCTGTAGGTGAACAACGGACATCTCTAACGTTTGTGACGTTTCGTAAAGTGACCTTTTCTAATATGCTGCAGTACTTGAATATCAACGTGGGCGATTTAAGTCTCATAGCATTGTCAAGAGCAGATTGGATACCTGACTTAAAACACCGAATTCCTGTCTGCTTCTCAATTACTATACAATTCCTGTGTTTAGAGAAGGGACACGGGGTTGTCAAGACATTCAACAGTGACAAACCCTGGACAATCGAGTGCACTGACATCATGATCGCAGATAGTTGTATTGCCTTTATCGTTTGCAAACATAGTCTTAGTATTCCAAAACAATTGATCAACTTTTCATAGATCGTATGTTGTCATTTATTTATCTAGTTCCACAAATCTGTTCTATGGAAGCGATTTTTGTTCAAACTTTCCTTTTCGAAACCACATTAGAATGTGACACGGTGCCAGGAGGACTGAAGAACACGACAGTATGAAATGTACTTTCTCCATGGTCACCTTGCCACTGATGGTAGTGTCGACATCTACAGAACACAGTGAACTGAATGTCCATCAGTTTGCTGATTCTTGGTGAAATGAATAGACCTTGGGCTCGGATAACCGACGAAGTTGTAGCTTGTGCTTGTGCTGTGCTGTGTGTGTGTGTGTGTGTGTGTGTGTGTGTGTGTGTGTGTGTGCGTTCGTGCGTGCGTGCGTGCGTGCGCGCGCTTGTGCTTTGTGTGTGTGTGTGTGTGTGTGTGTTGGGGCATTCTTACACAGAATAGTATATCTCGAGGCATTCACGGATCACATACATTGTATAAATCAATAAAGGTCGGGTAAGTACCAATTTAACTGTGTACAAACAAACACAACGTTGATCTTTTCTATAGCCTACCGTGTCGTAATTAGTCATCGGGTATCTGGACCTGTTTCTGGTGTAGCAGGACAGTTCAATTAAGTAGCAATCATTAGTTCAGATCGAGGTGGCTAAAAAGGGCAAACTGGTTCAGATCGATGTGACTCAATAGGAATGACAAGAATTCGTCAATGCAAGCTCAATACGCTGTTCATTTCTTGGATATTCCCAAAACGCACTTGGGAATAACATCTACTGATCAATAGTTCAGGCATATATACTTAGCGTCATAATTAAAAGGGTCACCCAGGTATGTCGGGAGTCAACAAATGTCATGTTGACATTGTCAGTGAGTGAGTGAGTATGGTTTTACGACGCTTCTAGCAATATTCCAGCAATATATCACGGCGATCACGGACACCAGAAATGGGCTTCAAACTTGTACTCATGTAGGGAATCGAACCCAGGTCTTCGGCGTGACGCGCGAACGCTCTTACCACTAGGCTAACCCACCGCCCCAATATAGTACGCAGACGATTCAGGCTGACATCTCTGCTGACTTGTGACATATGGTGCATTTTTCTACATTACCAAAATTGTTTACAAGAGCATTTACAAACAACTCCACCGTTGTCCTTGATCAAACCAACACTAAACAGATGTGAAGGTGGAGCCCATGTGCAGCGAATCCTGATAGACGTACACAATCTTTGGGAGTGTTTGAACGTAAAGCCCAACCCCCCTTTTGAATGAGTCCCCTTCCGGGTCAGGTGTGTGACCTTTAGGTTGACCTTAGTGGTCTGTGATTATTATTCAGTTATTTTATGAGTGGTATGAGTTTGATTTGCTGACATACTAAACTGGCCAAAGATTGTGTACGCCTATCAGGATTCGCTGCTCACGGCTCCACCATCACATCTGTTTTCGTGTTTGGTCTTCTTTCTAAATGTGGCAGTTTAGAGTCACAATGCTGAAGTTCCAGTCCAAGATGCCGTTTGCTGTAGAATATAACGCTCAGACATATGTTCCCCGCTGCCTTTTTGTACACATAAGTACCATTAAGGTAAACGTCCGACATGCATCACTTTACTCCCCCGTCAGGCATCCGTGCCGTGCTATAGGGGATTTACTGTTCAAAATGCCGTTAAAACAGACTCACTCACTCACTCAAATGCTGACATTCCCGTGTAATCGTTTTTTCTGAGACTAAAGAACATCCGTTTTGTGTCTATTATCGCATCGACAGTTGTGTCAACGCGTGGTGTATGCGTCGACTGGGGAATTAGCTCATAATTAATACAATACGTTGACAAGACGAAGGAATACGTTGAGTTCAAACTTCTTTAGTACATGACAAACAAATACACAAGCGAGCGGAGTACCTGCTCAACCCCAGGGCGTGTCCTACGAGCGGCATTCTCCTGCTCGTGGTCGTTCCTACAGACAGTCGGAATACTGGACTCGTACTCTGTTTTTCTTCCTTCCGTATAGACGTGAGCATAGTAAGTATATATACAGTTTTTGACAACAATGGACAGGCGACGATTCAAAATGGACAATTAGAAAAACAATAGCACTTCCTTGACCAGTTGATGTGATGGCAGACACGGCCAAGGGCAATGGCCAATAAGGGTTTTAAATGTCATATACAGTAATTAATTGCCTGACATGTCAATGTACAATGCGGAAGTGATAAGGATTACATAGAATACAGATTAGCGTCACATAAATAATTACAATAAACTCTCACATGTCTTGACTACATAGGTTTTTATTTTTTTAAATATTTGGACGATGGCTGTCCTGAATTAGTCCCTATAACAGTTGTAAAACATTTCACAAACGTAGAATTATAGAGAATACTTAATGATGTCCCGTGTAATACCATATTTATAAAACGAGTGAATGGTTTGGTATCTAACGAGCGAACTATGGTATTACACGGGACATCGTTCAGCATTTTATGTATTACACATCCAACATTAGCAAAATAATATCTCAGAATTCAACTAACAGAACGAATGCAGTACGCCGTCGTAACAGGGGTCACGCGTATGAATACATTTCATGTATGATTGTCAGCATTAGTCTATTTAATTTGGAATTTTTAAAATAAACAAGGGGGGTATGAAAAAAGGGACCAAATGACTTCAACAAAGATATTATTTATTTTATATAAATGCTGTTACACGCAATCGCGCAAATAACAGTTGAATATCGCGACTTCAAGATATGTTGTGAATGACAGCCGACCTTTTGTTTTGATCACGTTACTTTGGTCACGTGACCAAGTGCAAATAATTCCGGCAGCAAGCACTGCCTGTGTGACGCAACGCCCCTCGTTACGGCCCAAGTGATCACAGCCCTCCGAACAGGTACATGAAGTCGGAAACCTGTAATCTAACGAAATATTGTTCGTAGACGTGATAAGCACAATTTGGAAGCGGCGATGCATACTGTACAAGGTATGAATCCGTTCATGTTATGTATGGAAATTCACAGATCATTTGATGTTGATCTCCGTAATAGCTAATGTGTAAAATACTTAGAGTATATATTTTCAATGAGCGTACCACTGGATAAATATGCCCCGTTAAAATGTGAACTGACGACTCGCCAATCTCGGCAGCCTAAGCTCCTTACAGCGATAAGGCGTCGGGTAATGTATATATATTAACAATGAATTTGGACCTACTAATGCACAGAACTTAAGGCGTGGTGGGGTAGCCTAATGGTTAAAGCGTTCGCCGAAGACCCAGGTTCGTTTCCCATATGGGTACAATGTGCAAAGCCCATTTCTGGTGTCATCGAATATTGCTAAAAGAGACGTAAAACCGCACGCATGCGCGCACTCGCTCGCAAAATATATACAAACACAAATTAGGCCCAGAGATCGCCTTTCCAGCTCCCCTGTAATGTCCCCTTACATACCACAGGTAAGTAGGAACATGATTGGTATACGGGCAATGACGCTGGTCCGATAACACATTAACGTAGAAACCAACGTGGATCTATATGTAAGCGAATCATCTTGACTAGCTTCTCTGGGTGAATAACACATGAATATGCATCTCCTTGACTACCAGTTCTTGTGTAAAAAACAATTCTAAGGATGGCTTACGGCGGAACAGATCACATATTGATATGTGGGGTTTTCTTTCTGAAAGATAACAAGGTGACAAGTCGATATAAATATTCTCGTATTCTATTCATTCAGCATGTGCTGGCAGTGCATCTGCGGAAGTCTCTCCAGAACACGTTACAATAAAGAACCAATAATTGCATATACCTTTGTTCCTTGGATCATGTTCCCTGATATTTCAATGGACATTGTCCCAATGCAAGGCTAGTATCAAACGTTGGATTTAAAACTCGGATGACATAATGGGCGTTAAAGAAGATATCGTTAATGATTCAAATCTTAATTCCTCCTTCACAGTGGCTTCCTTTGCAGCAGCCGTCTCAAGGGCACGTCGTATATCCTATCCTTGTTGAATGGTTATTTTTTGGCGAGTTGAATAAAAAGGTAACAAAGCATCGACAGTTTAGTTCTCTGTTCAAAGTCTTCGTACTGTATAGCAGGAAAACATCTGCTACAAATATACAGGCATTGTTAACGAAGAGGTCGTGGTACACACAATGAAGATATTCATAAAAACACAATTTATTCAGCAAGAGTATGTACGTATATACATCACCTTAGATGCATTATTATGCATCTTTCACTTTGTAATTACGGGGACGGTGGTATAGTCTAATGGTTAAAGCGTCCGCTCGTCACGCTGAAGACCCGGGTTTGATTCCCCATATGGGTACAATGTGTGAAGCCCATTTCTGGTGTCCCCGCCGTGATATTGCTGGAATATTGCTAAATGCGGCGTAAAACCATACTCATTCACTCACTCACTCGTAATTACATATGTGTAACAAGGAAAATATATTAATCTTCATAAGGAAAAACAAGTTGAAACATGAATGATCTAAACAAGCCTCTATGTCTGCAGGGATCGCTGTTCGGTAACAACTCTTGGATCCATCATACCTGGTTCCCACGATCTGACATAGCTTTTCCTTGACCACATTTGACGTTTGTAACACCTCCGAGGCTCCTGAGACAACACGAGGCGTAGTGTCGTACAAAGAATGGCTGTTCTATTTACAACTTGTAGGGCAGGGCAACCAGTCAGCACACAGCTTGGAGAGTCCGACAGAGGCTACCACAGGAAGGCGGCGAAGTGACATTTGGGCAGTAGAGGGGCTAGATTGACTGTTCAGTTCATCCCTTCAAGTCCCTGGCTTGCCTTTCTTTTGGTCTGTCCGCGCTCTTCACGCTGTCTGCCGGCTCTGCCCAGTTTGCCAGTCCTGCCTGCTTTAAATGGCAGATGAACAGAACAACAACCTGCTCATGTCAGCACTTTCCATGGACATAATCTGCTGAGCTTGACATGTCCGACAAGTGTGCATGAAAAATAGTGTCATACGTTTTACCAATCTATCCAACGTAATGAACTTGTCACTGCCAGCTATAATGGTCATATGAACAATGAGATTTTCGATGTCAATGAAGTTCTCGCCTTCTCAAAACCGCCATTTTGTTGATATCGCCAAGACTGAGCCACATTTGTAACTCTCATACTGACTGGTGCTAGGTCCAGTAGCGCAGCCGATGGAATCAAGGGCGGGTACTTTGAGATTGCGAGAACCATGACAATGGGTCCAATGTTTCGGAAGGTTTACTGAGAGACGATAGATATATATTGGCATCTTCATAACGTCAAACATCGTCGTGTCGGAGTTCAAGGGACTTCTCCTGTTATTCGAGTATTAGTTATGACTAATGACAGAACTGTTAGATCGACACATCAAAGTTCCACGCAAGGGTGTTTGATTGTTATTCGAGAATTAATTATGACTAATGACACAAGTGTTAGTTCGACACATCCAAGTTCCACGCAAATCTGTTTGACTGTTTTATTCAAACAGTACACTAATGAACACGTGTTAGTATTTGTGGTTAAGACCACGAGAAATCAACAATAAATGCACCTTTTGTACTGCCAAGCCCACAACAAAGACGAGTTAACCAGACCAAGGCAATATAAATGCCAAGCATCAATGAACTAGGTTCTTTCAGTGTACTTACTTGTTTCTCGTACATGCACATAATACAATGTGATATAACAGTGACAAAACCGGTATCTCCCAGCTAACAATTTCACGTTGTCACAACGTTGCCACAACGTTATGCTTTCGTTGTTACGTTATTCTGTGGACTACCATTTACGTTGTGATACGTGATTTTTACGTCGCCACAAGGTTAAAGTTATTTAATGCTAACGTATTTTACGTTGTCGTAACGTTCTATTCAGCGTTAATAGTAGAATAGTGAACAGCACATAAAAAACAAAGTAGAAATTCACTTCAATGTTTATTCGTCAATTTGCATGTTGTTTTGGTCGTGTGTTTTCTGAAGCTGTAGCAGAATAGTGAATAAAGAATCTCAAAGTGAAAAGTTGTACAGACTATCGTGACATCAAGTTATAAGAAACGTTGTTATCACGTTGTGAGGAGCCAAAAGCATAACGTTTCCTCAACGTAAATTTGCAACGTTGTGATTACGTTGACATAACGTTATGAAATGACGTAATACTAACGTTGTGACAACGTTGTGTCATGACGTGACCAATCTACAAACTTCCCACAACGTTGTGTGTTAGCTGGGTAAGTTGTGTTTACAGCCATCTGTCCTTTCATATGAAGTTCAAACACGCCATCCTCTGCTTCTCGTATGACGTACAGTTCAGTCATTTGAGATATGGCATTTAGTATTAAATAATACGCCTCGTTATGTATTATTATAAGAAGGGTGTTTAGGGAACAGGCTTCACTGTTGCTATGTTTCATTTAAGTAGCCTGGAGACCAGTAAACATTTACATGCCCTCAGTGTTCACGGTTGAAGGGAAGGTGGCAAGAACAGCGCAGTGTTCATAAGCTATAACGTCATGAAAACTATAAAGCTATAACGTTATGACATAATATGGAACTTCGCCACACATAAAACGTTTTGGTTGTCATTCCTGTGCCAAGGGTTTTATCATGTATACAAATTAGCATATGCTCATACCCTGATGACAGTTAAACAGACATGTATGGAGATGTTATCGTTATATTTACAGTGCTAATCATAGAAATATAAGTGATATGTTCTTTAGCACCGCCAAAATAGGGAATTGTGCTCTTTGTCACATAGTTTAAGTTTAAGTTGGACTTAGAACATGAAGTATGTCAGATGAGAAAAGACAAACATATTCAAAGATTGTGTGTGGTTAATAGTAACTTACTGCTTGATTTGCCAGAGTATGTAAGCTCCGTTACTGAAATGTTCGTTACAAGGGTATTCGAAACTATGGCTTGTGAAGTTCTGATACCATTTTTTCAATTATCACATGACTTGATGATGTTTCTTGAATTGAGAGAACCGCCACAGACTTAAAATTGAGAGTCATCTGAAATAGAAAGTAACGATGTAACGAACATTTCATTTCTAACTAAAACCTTGTCACCATCACTTACTGTTTATTCACGTTTCGGAGTTTACAAAGTAATGTCACTCTGTATTTGATAGGACAGACTTACACTTGGGCAATAAAAACATTATCATAACATCAATAACAACCACAAGGAACATTTCATCCTAGTAAGGGGTATCTCTATCGCTTCGATTGGCTTGACATTGAGCTACAGTTATATCATTTCCAGAATTTATGTTGTTAGTCTCATGTTAGATATTTAGTACACTATCATTACTTGAATTTTTTATTATTATTATAAGATATTTATATAGAGCTCATATCCACGCAACTAGTGCATGCTCAGGGCGCTGGTATATTTTCCCTCGATCATTGGATGTCAATCACAATGGCACATCGTATCATCAATCTCAACTCCCTGGGGAGTATACAACTCTTGCTGCCACAAGGCTCACCGAGTTACTGTGGCCCTCTCATCCTAACGAGGTACCTATTCACTGCTGGGTGGACTGGAAATGTATACCGATTACCCCAAAACGATTGAATGATAATAAGTACATTTGAAAATTGTTTAGTTTTCTGCCTTTAAACAATTACAATCTAAGCAAATAATGTCGATTTTTAGTTTGGAATAACGAATAGCGCCATACAAGCTGATTAATTCTTTATATTATTGTTTTCATTTTTCAGTATGTTGAAATATGTCCAGTTTAAATCTATTTGAGGATAAGACAGTGTTTCTGAAGACATGACGTTGCCTAAAATGTTAGTTACTTATATAATGGTTTATATCTAGTGGTTGGAAAACTATCAAACCATGTTTCCTCCTTAGATTACCCGTGAAGATCCGGGTTAAAATATTGATCTTCAGTAACCCATGCTTGTCGTAAGAGGCGACTAACGAGATCGGGTGGTCAGGCTCGCTGACTTGGTTGACACATGTCATCGGTTCTCAATTGCGCAGATTGATGCTCATGCTGTTGATCACTGGATCGATTATTTAAAGACCGCCGCCATATAGCTGGAATGTTGCTGAGTGCGGCGTAAAACAAAACTCACTCACTCACTCCTCCTTAAATAGATGTCACATGTGTTTTATGATTGAACTTTCAGACGCTTTGAAAGTATTTGTCACTTCATGGCATTTTGTTTCATGTGTATCCTGCGTTCCTGAAGTATGTTCTATCCTGCAGCGTACTTGCTGGGGATGAGTTAGTCTACCTTGCAAGAACACAGTTACAATGTTAAGGAAACATGTACTCCCAGGCTTGGTAATAAGGGCCATGACTGCTTTCTAGGTGCGTGTTTTCACCGGTTTAGGTGGTTATAACGAACATTTCAGTGTTAGGATTCTCTAATAGTGTACCTATCTTGTTAGCACGTTATATTTTCAAAACCTTTCAATTCTTGTTGAATTCCCATTGGTGTTAAGCAGCCCAATGTATTACCATGGCAAAATATATGATTTCAATTACAACTTGATAAATTGTGAGCCATTTGCACCCCGTTATTGAGAGAGAGCGCAATAAAACTGTAGATATGGTACTGTGAAAGTGCATGGTTCATATACGAATCTAGTAAAATAGTAATGAAAAAGGGTCCCCGAAAAAGGTTTCAATAAAACAATGAGAGAATTGTGAATCGTACAAATCTAAAAGAACTGACCTAAAATAGGTATTCACATTGTAGACATAGATGGCGGATTCCTTAAGGAAAAACGTCACTGTCTAACTGATGTTCCACAACCTTGTACTGTTGTACGATTGCAAAACCTATCCTCAAAAGGCTCTGTTGACTGTTGACTGTTGTTAAACCTATACTCCCTAAAAGCTGTAGGTTGATGTAAACGGAACCACAGGTCTAGGCCCTCGTGTCTTTGCGAGGATTAAAGATTAATATTTTTCAGATGACCCCCGACTCGAAATGCTTCACAGTACAATACATGTCATATAGTGGGGTGTTCTTCTGAAAATAAAAACCAACAAATCCCAACCTGTAATTATCGCAAAGACACGAGGGCCTGTGCATGGAATCTGATAATACGCCTTGGATTGTTGTATCCTTTCAAAAGTAAACAGTAAACGGTACATATTATTGTAAAATTGCATATCCCCAACACATGTTACGTAATGTTTTGTTATGCACTTGTAAAACCAAAATTAGTAAATACTACAGACTGTGGAACATCTGGAAAACCAAAACTCTTCTTTACTGTACATGAATTTTACAAAACCGGAATACAGTAAACGCTATCGATTGTTATACATTTGCAAAACCCAGACACCCTAAACGCTTTCGTTTGCTGTGCATTTGCAAAACCCGAAAACAGTAAACGCTTCCGATTGTTGTACATTTGCAAAACCCGAACAGAGTAAGCGCCACTGACAGTTGTATATTTGCAAAACCCGAACTCTACCAAAATAATTAATATAATGCCTAACGCCCCCTTGATAATAATAACGCCCAGAGGTGGGTCCTCGTCAGAACGAATGCTGGTCAAAAGATACGAGCTGATGGGTCCCGTAGTCTGATCCAGACTCGATGGTGCTTGGCTGCCGTCATATGTCAGGAATACTGCTGAATACAGTGTTAACAACAACGGATGAAAGAACACGCACCCACTTAAATCATTAAAACACACACTTTTTGTCTAACTGGTTATTTGTGTGGTCCGTCTATGTATTTTTCTGTGTCGTCCATCCGTCCTTCCGATTGTTGTAGCCTTTTACGGCGAACCCTTTGTTCGGCTGACGATAAGTTTGAGTAAAATGTATTAAAATTCGATGCAATGATAGCGATCGGTAGAGCCAACAGTAAAATACCAGACAATGCACACATAATTCCTACAATGTATCCCGTCCATGACTGGGGGTAGTAGTCGCCATATCCAACAGTCGTCATGGTAACAACTGCCCACCATACCGCAACTGGGATGTTCTCAAACGCGTCCGAGTTGGTTGATACTTCCGCGAAGTAAACAAGAGTTGCGAAAATAACAACAGCCATTGTCATTGAAACCAGTAGGAGACCGAAGGCTTCCATACTCGCCGACAGCGTGAACAATAGTAGCTTGACTCCTTTCGACGTTTTACCTATGTGGAATACTCTCAGGATGTTGAGACAAAACAACGCTCTCATGACGGTGTGGCCAACTTGCGCATGCTCAATAGCCGGCACGTGATCCAGAATCACAGAGCACCACATAATGACAGTTAACACCAGGTCCATCACGTTGAGGAGACTCTTGAAAAACGATCGCTTCGAGGGACTCAAAAGCAAACGGAGTAAAAATTCAAGTGTAAAGAAGAGAAGACATATTAGGTCAATGAAGTAGATTTCTGCGTTCATTTCCGTGTTCAGGAGCATATTCAAGATGGAGGAGCTGTTCCAGTCCGGATCTAGATGTTCCATGGGCATGCGCAACTCTGGGGACATGCTGAGACAGGCGGTGACGACGGCAACAGACACCATTATTATGTAGACGCTGAACCACAACTGAAACAAGTAAAACGTATCATGTTATGTCATAGTGAATACACGATCTACTTCTCAATATGTTTAGGAATTAACGTTCTCTGTGCTTCGTGCAGATTTTCAAAAGAGTCGCTTATTATTCATAATCATTTCATAGTCGACGAGAAACAACTGTGAATTCCGAAGAAACGTCGTCCATTAATATCCGAACGTAAAAAAATAGGGTGTGTCGGCATCATTTCATGTAACGTCATTTAGTCATCAATATTCAGACTTTTGCTTACTTTGTGATAGAGTGAGTGAGTTTAGTTTTACGCCGCTTTTAGCAATGTTCCAGCAAAATTTACGGCGGGGACCAGAAATCGGCTTCACACATTGCACCCATGGGGAATCGAACCCGGGTCTCAGGCTTGACGAACGAACGCTTTATCCACTAGGATACCCCATCTTCTTCGTAATACAGAGTGGGATAGTTTTAGAGGCAATATATCAAGAATGTGATACAGATAACACAATAGGAAAAGCAAATGGCTATTAAGGTCCGCGATCCGACCCACTTAACAACATAAATATTCATTTGATCTCGAAACTCTACGAATTCTTTACAAATTTTATAATACGTCCGATTTTTACGCATTTACACCCTAACAGGAATACTCAATCTTCATTAATGCTCAGTTTGTTTCGAAGGTTGTAGCGCAAATGCATATTCATAAATGGTACGTGGAAAAGACAATAAGATAAACGGAGAATGAATTAAATCAAATATACCTAAGGGAAATGACTGTCCAGTTTGAATATCTACTGGCTGAAAAATCTAATGTGCTTCATATAAAGTTTAAAAGAGATATACATCTATTCTGAAATTAAATATTCCATTTTTTCTTATATCTTCTTGAAGACATCTCATTGAATTAATGTAAACGTTCGTGTGTTTGTTGGGGACACACACACACACACACACACACAAGCATTGTTCAGTTTCAAAACAGCTGTGTTTAGCTGTAAAAGATCAGGGATCTAGGTGGTGGTAGCAAATATTCAACGCCGATGGCCTGCTGCAAACAGGAAGAGTGCACACGGAAGTTCTAAACTATTAAAAATTCACCGAAACATATCTTTTGGAAATGTTACAGCAGGGCATAAATAACTCGGTGTCAGTCGCCCACGTATGACGTCACGTGAACAAGACAGCATATATTCGGTTGATGCATGTGCGGAATACTCGCAGCTCGGATCTCACGGTTGAGATCAGACAGAGACAGAAACGTCGTCATATGAGCGAAATATTCTCAAGCACGACGTTAAACCTAATTTCACCTCACCTGAATTGTGTGAGATGTATATTATATTATTATATATATTGTTACAGGGTGTCGTTTAACGATCTAAAATCCCACCAAAATAAACAACCTCACCCCCTAGCAGAGTGTTGGTAATCTTTGCCTCACGTTGACCCTGCTATACTAATGTCGATATAATTTGTTGACGAGAAACACACAAACAATGTAGCCACGAAGATGAACTTAAGCTTCTGGTATATCGATGTTTTTACATTCATTCAGTGTTGGTTACATAGCCACTGATATAAATTAGAAATCTTAGAAGCCAGAGAAAATGTACTACTATATGCAGTACGGAATCAGATTCAGAAAGTCAACCTATCCACAAGACAGCTTGTCGAGCAATATACCAGCACGCCTAGACACGTCCCTGAATATATATTATTCTGATAGTAACAAATGAACCCATTTAAATTGAAAATGGACCCGAGAGAGTTGGGGGATTCAGAACCTTCATTTAAGGTTGCAGCATGGTATGGAGGACTAGGCATTAGAGAAAATAATGTGATTCCGGAACTGTGAGACAGACTACACCACGCCCTGCTCTTGGTGTTAGCATTTCGCAACTTTTGGCGTGAATTTGAGAAAGCAATTTTTAAGCTAATGATTAACATTGAATGATATAAAAGTTCAGATGCTTTGCAATGAATGTGACACTACCAGACACATTGTGAGTCCTTATCATAGCAATATATTGTATCTATACAAGCAACTGTCATATTTGCATCATCTAGACCCCAGTTTCATAAATGTATTCCGTTTTTAAACTTTAGGATTACACGTGTGGAAACCTGAAATGTAATGTAACAAGGTCTGATTATATCATCCTTACCATTGTGCATGTTCAGCATCATTTGTTGTCACTGAAGCGGTTAAATTCCTCACAAGCAAATATACGACAACATCAGCAGTGATACGGAATGGATGTGTGTAAACTTACAGGGTACGAATAACAAACAAAACCTACGTTGTGATCCTGCCATGGTTTGCAACACATCGCAAGCCAATTGCCATTTAATGGTTATAGCATATACACCGATTGTAGCTTACGCATAAATACATTCTTAACAAAACTGATGGCGTTTCAGGAGGACATTCTTTTGATATTCCCCAGACTAGTTACAAAATTGAGAAATACGAAAGAGAAAAATATCCTATCCATATTTATAAGTCATCTCTGCTGAAAGTAGAATCCATCCTACGAATCGGATTATATATTAGATGGAAACTTGCGCGATACACACAGAACAGTCATGCATATGAAGCATTCAGTTGCTGTGTTTACTGTGAATGTGCATTTCGCAATGTATCGTACAGCCAATCTGACAGTTCTCGTGTACGTCTCAACAGAAATGGAAACCTTGACAAAACGTATTTGTATAGTCTGATGCTCTGTGAGGGACACTCGGCATGGTCATCGACTGACTGACTGACTGAGTTTGGTTTTACGCCGCTTATAGCAATATTCCAGCAACATCACGGCGGGGGACACCAGAAATGGGCTTCACACATTGTGCCCATGTGGGGATTCGAACCCGGGTTAGCCTTTGCATTTCTTTTTGACGGGTAAGATACTCTCACTGATAGAGAGTCATAAATACTTGCTAATGATCATCTAGTCGGAGCGGTACAATAGTGTCTTCATGACAGTGAAAGATTTGTAGTTTCTATTTTCTTATTAAAAGCACTGAAATCTATGATCTATAAGCCACAATCTCCGTAGTGCTTATATTCATCCTCATTATTATACCAGGTTCATCATAGATGAAGTTTTAGAAAGTTGTAGTTAACGTTTTAAGATCAAGTGCATTCGCCAAAAGCGTAAATGTTATACACACTGTCGTTGATGATATACTGTTCATTTACTCACATGTTTTTGACACATGGTTGTTATTGAAAACTAACTCCCATCTATTTCGCTGAGTTGGATATCTAATCCAAAACGTAAACACGTTTCTTTCTGTCCAGTTATATGCTCAGCGTACAGATGTAATAAGACCTAACGCTTCTTTCTGGTAAATGGGATCTGTAAATGCACTACCGTCTGTAAACATACATAAAACGGCAATGCGAGAGACACGCTTGTTGGGGTATGATGAGTTGTAATAACATAACGTATTTTCTACACACATCACATTTGTTTTACTTACACTGTTATTTGCTGTGTACACGTGACGAATGATGCAGACACGTAGTCATGGGTGGATGGAGAAGTTATAGCAGGCAAACCACGTTCACATGGTTACATCCACGAAAAGGAAGATTGTTTCCTGTAATTTCCCTGCTCTTATAATATGGAACTCATGGAAATCATGTGCTGGATTTGTACGAGCAAGACTAATCTTGGACTGCAGTTTCATGTGTCAGGGTTGATGGTTTTCACCGTGCCAAGTTCAATGATTCGACCCGATCATGTTTCCCATGGAAGCATCAGTATCCACTGATTTCGTCAAAGGGAAATGCCAGAGACATGAATGGTTTCGGCTTTCGATGAGATTATGATGAAATCCAACGTTAATTACTGTTAAAAAAATGAACACCTTTAAGAATCCCGTCGATGAATGAATGCTACGGTGAGGGTGTCATTACGTTCGACTCAGGCAATGTCCCTGCAAGGTACAGAATATAAAATAACACCAGAAACATTCCGAAGATATTCGCAAAATTCGTAAGTTATTCGCAAAAGGTACAATTTGGGAGTGGACATCCTGACCTGAAGAGCGATGGAAACACTGCTTGTTTTACTCGTATCTAATTCTTTGCGCATAACTTTAACGGGAGTACATCTATATGTGATGGAGTGCGTGAGTACTTTCACATTTGTGGACACAATGCGTTCCACATTTTGTTCTAACTGGCTACCTACCATACACAAAGGCCAATCGATCAATACAATTGTTGCTGGACATCAGAGACTTCCGAAACCGTATGGATAAAAAAATACGTTACTAGGCAACATGCAAAAGCTGATAAAAATATTTACGGTATCAGATCATACCTTGATGCAGTAACTGAGTACTCTCGGGAAATGATGTATCAAAATGGCATCGATTATTGTTATTGATTAAGACATGAGTTTTACGGCTTGCTTCGGCCAGAGGTGGCATAAATAAAGTTTCGCGTTTTGCTTTCGAACCATACATGACATGCTAGTGTGGCACATGATCGATGGGAAAAATAGTCACAGATGGGACCTATACCATCAGTTCTGTATAGGAAGACTTGGCTACTTGCCTGAACAGTTTCTCACACACACACACACACACACACACACACACACACACACACACACACACACACACACACACACACACACACACACACACACACACGAACACGAACACACGAACACGAACACACACACGAACACGAACACACACACGAACACGAACACGAACACACACACACATACACGAACACGAACACACACACACACACACACGAACACACACGCGCGCTAGCGCGTACGTTTGCTGAGACAGAACGGGCATCAACCAGCAGAGCTACTGCATGAAGAGTTATATTAGTTTTCCATTTGTGTCTACCAGCAACTGTGTCTACCCACATGAATCAATGTTTCAGTCCTGTGAATGATACTTGTACGATCCATCCAATTGCCTTAAATGGGGTCGGCCGATTGGATGCCCTATAACTGGATTTGATTTAGAAAGGGATCCA